GTTTTTCTGTCTGTGCGCGGAGGCGGGCTTAGCACCTTTGAGAATATCAGGTCTGAGAATCCTGACTTACATAGACGATTGGCTCATCATAGCCGAATCAAAGGAGAAGGTGTTGCAGGACACCGGCCGTGTGCTCGCGCACAACACATCGCTCGGGTTCCAAGTGAATGTGAGCAAGAGCAAGTTCACGCCCAGTCAGAATGTCATTTTCCTGGGCTTGGAGCTGAACTCGGTCTCCATGTGAGCGCGTCTCTCTCAAGAGCGCGTTCGCTCTCTGATGAACTGTCTGTCGCAGTTCAGAGTAGGGGCGAAAGTGCAATATCGCACATGTCTCAGGCTGCAGGGTCTCATGGCTTCATCCACCCAAGTTGTGCCGTTGGGACTCCTGAGGATGAGGGCGTTCATGAAATGGGTTTTGTCACTACATTTCAGCCCGATTCGCGACCTTTGCCGCTCGGTAACAGTGACACGCGCCTGCTCGGCAGCCTTGCGCCACTGGGAGAGCGAAGACTTTTACGCACGGGGAACCCCTCTGGGGCCGGTTACGATGCGGAAAGTGGTGACGACAGATGCGTCCTTAACAGGTTGGGGTGCCACCCAGGAGGGCAGAACGGTGAACGGTCTGTGGCCAAACAGACTACGTTCAGTGCACATAAACTATTTAGAGCTTTTAACCATTTGGAAAGCTCTGAATCATTTTCTGCCTCGCCTGCAGGGACATCACGTTCTAGTACGGTGCGACAATACCACGGCTGTGGCTTATATCAACCGTCAGGGCGGCATGCGCTCGTCGAAACTCCACACTCTAGCTTACAAGCTTTTGGTGTGGAGCAGACGGGTTTTCCTGTCGTTACGCGCAACTCACGTTCCGGGCATCCTGAACAGAGGCGCGGATCTGCTATCAAGGGGAAACCCAATCTACGGAGATTGGCGTCTTCACCCGCAGATAGTGGAAATGCTATGGATGAGATTCGGACGGGCGACCGTAGATCTATTCGCCTCGCGCGAAAACTACCATTGTCCTATGTTCTTCTCTCTAAGGGACATGGACGCGCCCCTCGGGGTAGATGCACTGGCCCACCCATGGCCCAGAGTGCTCCTGTATGCTTTTCCTCCCCTGTGCCTGATAATTCCCACATTGGCCAGGGTGAGAGAGCAGGGCCTGTCTCTCATTCTGATAGCACCCAGGTGGCCCAAGGCACCATGGCTGGCGGAGATAATTCCTCTGTTATACGCCGAACCGTGGCGCTTTCCCGTTCGCACGGATCTATTGTCCCAAGCCAACGGGGAGATTTACCACCCCCACCCAGACAGGGTGGCTCTCTGGGCCAGGCCCGTGAGAGGACGAACCTGAACGCACTTGGGCTTTCGCCGCATGTGGTCGCCACTATTCAGAATGCCAGGGCCGTCTCTACACGGTCCTTATATGACTGTAAGTGGCAAGTGTTCGAAGGGTGGTGCGATGGGCGCGGTCTCACATCTTATCAGTGCTCAGTTCCTGATATTTTGTGTTTCCTTCAAGACCTCATGGGAAAAGGGAGGTCCTTTTCCCCCATTAAGGTCTACTTGGCTGCGATTTCAGCCTGTCATGTGGGTTTTGAGGGGTCTACTGTCGGGCAGCACCCCCTAATCCGCAGATTTATGAAGGGTGCACGCCGCTCTTTGCCAGTCATCAGGAGAACTGTTCCGGAGTGGGACCTCTCCATGGTGCTGGAAGCGCTGTCTCAACATCCTTTTGAGCCTCTGGGGAGTATTTCCCTTAAGCTGCTGTCCTTCAAGACAGCTTTGCTCTTGGCCTTGGCATCTGCTAAACGTGTCAGTGAGCTACATGCACTCTCGGTTCACCCCTCGTGCACTAAGTTCTCCCTCAGTGGAGATAAGGTTTCCCTTAAGCCTAACCCGGCCTTCATGCCGAAGTGCTTCCCTGCGTTCACTTCGGAGGTGTTGGAGCTGTCCGCTTTTCACCCTCCACCTTTTACCTCTCTAGAGGATCAGAGGCTGAATGCTTTGTGTCCAGTCCGTGCTTTACAGGCATGTATGACCAGGACCAACGCTTTCCGCAAGAGCGACCAGCTCTTTGTTTCATGGGCCCCCCCCCGCACAGAGGGAGTCCCATTTCGAAGCAACGCCTCTCACATTGGGTTGTGGACGCTATAACTATGGCTTATGAAGCAAAGGGAGTGCAGCCCCCAAGGGGCATCAGAGCTCATTCCACAAGGGGCTTAGCCGCCTCTTGGGCCTTGTTTAGGGGAGTGTCACTGCAGGACATCTGCTCCGCTGCCAGTTGGGCTTCTCCTCATACCTTTGTGCGTTACTACCGGCTGGATGTCACCAGAACCTCGGTAGCACATTCGGTTTTAGGGGTGGGGTCTTCTTAGCTCTTCCCTGTAACCCTGTGAAAAAAAAAAAAAAAACAGTAGGAATGGGCCGGCTGGGCATGTTCATTCCTGTCACCAAACATTTACTTCCCTTATGGGTATAGTTTATGTGCCTTGGTGGGTTGGGGTTACTATCATGTATGTGTCTCATGCATGTTTCATGTCCTGCTTGTCCACAGCAGTTAGGTGTGGCGTCACCTTTGCAGGTTCATGATTAATGGACGTGTCAGGCACCGCCTCCCCGAGGTGACCGTCTTTCTCTGGCTTTCAGAACCTCACTGTGAGTGTATTGGGCAATCGGGGAGCTGTCCATGTCTCTCCCATAGGTGGATCTCGAACACGAGATGATGAAAGAGAACAATAGGTTACTATCGTAACCCCGGTTCTCTGAAACATCGAGTGGAGAGATCCACCAGCTTTGCCCCGCTTGCCGCACGAGAAGCGAATATACTTACTGAGGAATAGCAGCGCGCCCAGCGGTTATATGCCAGTAGGTAAGGGGGTGTGGCCTCACCTGGCATTGGCTGCGCGCTTCTGTCTGTCTAGCCAGACTTGGTGCAATTGGATGCTTCTGCAGAGGTCAGGTACGGATGCCCTTCCCATAGATTGATCTCTCCACTCGATGTTTCAGAGAACCGGGGTTACGATAGTAACCTATTGTTTCTAGTAAAATTAGCATATTTTCCAAGTTGATAATGTAACGGTAAACCCATGAAAATGGTTTAAAATGCATGTTTCCATAGTACCATTACTCTACATTGTCGCAATGACCGTCTTTTGTCAGTGCCTCGCCCGTCAAAGTTTAATGAGTGCCTTGATAAAATGAAGCTGCCTTAAGTTAGCCACATTTAAAACAGATGGACGCTCATATCCTATATACAGCTCCCGATCGGGTGAAGTTCAGGGGGGTTTGTCCTTAAAATGAAAAGAGCGCACATTTAGCTTTTGTGGGGAGTATTTTAACTTAAGTGTGGCAAAACATGCTCATTTTCTCTTGTCAGTCTTCTTTGGATTAAAATGCAAGACATATGGGGCCCTGTATACGGACATTCTTCAGATTTGATGGTGCTCAAAACATACTTTCCAGGAATTTCTTGTTGCTGTTGTTGACTGCCACAACAACAGCAACAAACTAAAGAAATATGTTTTGAGCTTAACCCTGCCCTCATTTTCATTTTTAGTAATGTTCAAAAAGTTTCTGTTTGGTAATGCCATCACTCTTTTCACCCTGTTTTAACAATGGGTAATGGAAGAGGACAGCATACAAACGGAAGTTAGAATCCATCATGGCGGCACTCATTATTTGCTCAAGAAAAAGGTGGATACCAGAAAATAAATGAACATTTAAGTAAATTTGAATGTTGCCATCCTGTTTGAAGCTGATTGATTATACTTTAGCTGGATTCATTAGTTGTTCTTTCCTTCTATGCAATGGTTCAACGCTATTGTTGTTTCTTTTGTCAGTTTGGCTTTAGCTTGATGCAACATGCTTGCACCAGATTGACCACAGAAACCTGAACTCTCATCAGAGATTTGGCTCCCAACAATGTTGATTTACAGTTTGCTAAAAATAGCTATCCCCAGAAAATAGCTAACTCCCCTGTTGACGTGAGGAAGTTAAGGGTGCTGAATGAACTGAAACCAGTAGAATGACTGGTACAGCTAGAAGTGTGTTTCTCCTGCAGAGGGCGCACAGTGGCTTGTAATGCCCCATTCACACTATACTGAAGAGGGTTTCCAATCCTGTTCTTGGAGATCAGCTCCAACCCTGATAAACTGAACCAGCTAATTAACATCTTCAGAAGCACTTAATAATTATAGACAAGTGTGTTGGATCAGTGTTGGATCTGAACTCTGCAGGTAGGTAGATCCCCAGGAACAGGATTAGGCACCCCTGCTATAGTTTTTGTCTAAAATTGTTGTGTGGAACTTTAAAACGTAGATGCATGGTCAGGCTTAATGATCCTGAGTTTATACACTTACACTTTAACATATCAACACAAAACACTTTCAATAATACGAAACTTTCAAACTCGACTTTCTATTAGCGATGTCCAATTCGAAAAAATAATTATTTTGAGTCAGATCTTACTTAACGGACATGAACCACTGACATTTACTGACATTTATAACCACTATTTATTCAGATTTTTTATTATTTAATAGTTATATTTTTAGTTAAGTGCTTAAATAAGTATGTATTGAATTATAGTAGGCTATTTAGGGAACTGCTATCATCAGACAGCATCTTTATAGCTAAAACCAAATAGAATAAAAAAAAAAAAACATAATAACAACTGATCTGTTAATGTATAGCCTAGATCAGTGGTAATAGCCTAACTGTTTTATTAAAAGGGCTTTATTTAAAAATCATATTTAACAGTATGAGTTAATGATATCATCAGCTTTGAATTGCGGTGTAACAGATAAAACACAATATTTAAAAAGTCAAAACCAGAATTATCTATAAAACGATAAAAAATCCTTATCTTTATTCCACGCATAGACTGTAACATTTCATGTCATGTGAATCGTGTTATCGAATCAGACCAATGAAATCAGTTTGAGACAGTTTACCCCACCCCCTTTGTGATTCGGTTTCTTGTGTATTTCTCATCTATCGCTTTCATTTCTTTTTTGGTGTCACGTGTTATTGTTTCGGTCTGTTTAGATTTGTAGACAGTGATGTTTTTATTTCTGTGTTTTAACATATATTTTAGTATACAATGAAGATCTCTGTGTCTGTCCTCGTGCTGACTTTGTCCGCACAGGTGTGGTCCAACTTTTGTCCATGTGCACGAGAGGAACTCTGTCAACCCATTCGATCCCAACCGGCGTTTGAGGTGAGTGTTCACTCTGGACCCATCCAGCGATCAGCTGATGGCGTTAAACGGACACAAAATATCAAACCAAGTGGCATTTGCAAACATATTATGCTAGATCATTGGTACATTCATTTTGTGACATTCAGTGTCTAAATCTGTCCTTTGTTGAGGGTCGCTGTAGAGCTTCTCTGTGACAGTACCAAGAAAGAAACTTAACTGCTTTATACTTGTACATATTTTTTTTTAGCTCATTCACTCACTATAATTCATCATCACCAATTACTGCTGCTGCATGCTGTTTTACTCAGAACTTAAAAACAAATTAAACACAACATTAAAGGGGTTATATTATGCTTTTCCACTTTTTCAACTTTAATGTTGCTGTTTGGGCATAAAAAAGATCTGCTCGGTTACAAAGCTCTAAGTCCACTCCAAAGGGAGATATTTTATTTAAAGTCCCCATGAAATCAAAATTGACCATACTTACTTTGTTTGCCTAAATTGATCGTTTTGTGGTGAACAATTCATCCATGCAAGTCAATCCACACAAAAAATTTTTTTGGCTTCGTAATCTTTAATCAAATTTTGAAAATGCCCCTCCCCTCTGCATTGGAGTACCTTGCCCGATGACGTAGGCTTTACGGTTTGGGTGTCTGCTTAACATCCATAACCACGCCCCTCCAACTGACAGTAGACAGGCTGAATGAAAACACCTACTTTTCTAGATCCAATCAGGTGCTAGTTGGAAAAAAAGCCACGCCCACTATTTTGCCTAATTTAGTATTCCGTTTCTCTCGGAAATACGTCACAACACTGGAGAAAAGTCGTTTGCAACTTCCGGTTCACGGGGACTTTAACAGAACATCTCAAGAACTACAATGAACGGCTCGTTTGGACTAAAATGCAATTTTTCTGGACCTTATGAAGCCACAATGGTACTCATTTAAATAATCACCGCCCACGGAATACGCAAAAAGGGGGATGAGGCCTGGTTGAGCTTTATTTGAGAAGAAGTGTTGTCGCTATGTCAACACTGTTTTTTTTCCACAACTTTTCCAAAACGCATTTGTTTGACCTTCCTAAGGCTGACGAACTTGGTTAAAACTTATTTTAAACACTGTTCCTGAACATTATATCTCCAGTATATGTGCGCTGCACATGGAGAACATCTTGTTTTCTGTTGCTTTTGTAAGCTCTCGCTTTTGTAAGACAGTTCACCGCTGCTTAGGAAAATTAACCATGGTTTTGTGATCGATTACTGTTTGTATTAAAATGATTAAATGGTGGATATAACATTGTATCTATAATGTATAATTTTTTTTTGAAAAAACTTACCACTCTGATACGTCCTGTGAAATCCGTGCTTGCAAAGTCTGTGCATGAAATCCATTCTGCATTATCCTCTAACATTGTCAGGGTCTGAATCAGGCTCAAATAGTTTTGAAATTGATGCCATCCTCAATATTTACACTAGATAAGAACTTGCAATTATGGAGGTGCGGGACATTCCCCGGACACGCGCTAAGCACTGCCAATCACAACACACTGGGCCATGCAGCTAACCTATAACAGCACATTTTGTATTTCGGAAGGAGGGGCTTCATGTAAATTGCCTGTTGAGCCAGACTGGGGAGAGAGGAGCTGTAATAATGTAAAATATGTAAAAAATAATGCATTTTTTGAACAATCAATCATGAAAACATATCCTAGTACACCCCAAAAACAAAATCAAACTTTGTGAAAGGGCATAATTGGACCCCTTTACATTTAATTAAGGTAAAAAATTTTGTCAGAGTAAAAACACTGATTATAACAATGTATCGTGATAAAGAAAATAATCTCTAATACAAAAACTCTTATCTTTATTCTAGAAAGCTGTCTAACAAAAATGGTTAATGCATCTATTCCAGGTTTTTGTATTTGATGTTGGGAAAAAGGCTTGGAAGTTTTATGACTGGACGAAAGTTACAACAGTTGCAGCTTTTGGACAATATGACGCGGATCTCATGTGTTATGCTCACTCTAAAGGAGCTCGATTGGTCCTGAAAGGTAGGGTTTGACTGGACACTATAGCAAAGTCTTTTATAAGCATTTTGTAGCCTACACTGTAAAACCTTGCTGTAAATTCTGTCCAAATTCTGACAGTAACATACCATTTTCAATTAAAACAGTAATATACCGTAGAAAACAATGCATTCTCGGCCATCTTTGTCATTTTCGAGAAAAAAGCCTACAGGAATATACTGGGAATTAACAGCACTTAAAGTCGACACTGTTCCAAATCACATCTTATACCCTCATTCACCATGCCCTACATTAGTTTACTAATATAGTCCACTTGACAGAGTAAATGAAAAGAAGTGAGTGAATTCAGACACTGATGAAACACCTGATAAGCAGAATCACTGAAGGAAATAGAAGCAAGATGAGAAAAAAAGAGAAACACAAGAACTACAACTGACTTTCAGTTTACAAACCAGTTTAACATTATTTATTTCATACATGTACAAAAGTTCTTTTTGAGAATTAACAGAGATTTAGTTGTTGATGTTGAAAATAATAAAGTAAAGTCACCATTATGGAGATCAGTGTTTGCTTTAGTTGGACTCATTAGTTTTTCTCTGGCTGCTGTGACTGAGTTTATAAAGCACATTTTTTTCAAAAGCCAAGAGGAAGTTGGTCAGGTGTTTTTGGCTGTTGTGACGATGCCATAATCGTCTTGAACTTTCTGATTCACCGATCTCTTCCTGTGTCTAATCTTTGATTTTATGTGTATTTTAATTTTATATATTTATTGATTATAGTATCTCTGTGATTCTACAGCATGAGATCCAGCAATGTTTCAGTAATAGGTTATTTTGAAGAACAATGAAATCATAGTGCATAAAACATTTTGAACTCACACAGACATCAACAATCAGCATAGGAATCTCAACAATGGTGACAATCAAAAGTTTCATGTCGCAATGCATGCTGGTTGCCAGAATAGTACAAAACTCTGAACATGCACTGCAGCATGAATAAATTATGCAGCTGAATGTTCTTTTTTTATTGCCACCATTGTTGAGATTCATCTGCTGATTTTGATATTTGTGTCTAATTATACTGTAGCTATTTTTTTTTTATTATGTGTTTTAGAAAATCCTTTTTTTATTATTTATTATAACTGATTGCTGTTGGAACTTATGCTGTAATTTCACAGTGGTGGTAATGTAAAATTTACGTGAGTTAACCCTCTGGGGTAAAAACATGAAGCCTAATGTTTGGCGCGTTTTGCTTTTCAAACGCACAGTGCGATTGACTCAAACTCACAGCGCGTGCAGAGAACATTTACTGAAACTATCGAGCCGCTCAACTATGAAACATTATTGTTACCATATTATACATATCTATCTTTGAGCAAAACATAAACATTATAATATTCACCATATTAGAGTAAACACTCATACTTGCCTACTTTTATCATGCTGTGCTTTATTATCGAAAAACATCCTTGTGTCGTACATGTATATAAATTTAGCATTGAAAGGTTGCCTACCTGTCTAGTTCACATTTCAACATGTTTTTGTCTATATATACTGTAGATACATGTACAACATTTGCCATCATGTTTTTACTCCAATCTCATTTCATAACGTACATTTTAGTCTGGAACCAGTTTAACTAGTAGCTACAATGTAAAGTTTATACAACAATAACATACTTACTATTATGAGTGGAAATGTCTTACCTTAAAAATCTTCTCATCTTCAAATCGTGTTCTTCTTCTGAGGTAAATCCAAGTTAAACAGCACAGCACAAACACAGTCTTCAAAACTCGATGAAAAGCAGAGGAGTGCGTTACTGGAGTCTCTGATTCTTTGTTTTGAGGTGATGGGCGTTTACAGGCCAGTGTTCCTTCACATGGACTATTTGCATGTGAATCGCTCGTGCGCGCGTGGGTGTGGTCACATTAGAGTTAATGAGGAGCGTTTGAGAAACTGACTGTACATGTCATTGCTTTCATATGGATTACTTAAACAGAGAATATTTGTTTTTGATATAATTTACATCATTTAAAAATAGAGACTCCAAACTTTGTAAATACATACGTCTCAAGTCTGTGTGACAAACATTCGCTGAGTTACAGTTCATTTTCTGTCGCGTTTCAGAATGAACTTCACATTGAGAGAGACGGCAGAACGCGCATCATGTTTATTTTCTTTATTTTACGAAAAACACAATATTTCGTTTTTATTATGAGTGTATACAAATAAAAGAAGACATTTAACAGTTTTGAATGATGTATAACACTTATATGTAAGATCAAAATAAACAGAGTATTTTGAGTCTCTTTTGCACTGATAAGAAAAAAAGCATGCTGGTCACGCCGGCGTTCAATGATCATCATAAATTTGTTTTGCCATAACAAATGTGCTTTGCAAAAATACAGTTTAAGCAACCATGATAAAAAAAACCCCTGATGTTTAAAAAGTCAAGAGTCAAGAGCCCAACTAAAGCAAACACTATTATCCATAAAGGTCACATCAAAACAAACCTTTTCAATTAAACATCAACATCTAAACCTCTGTTAATTCTCAATAAGAGCTTCTGTAGACATATGATGGAAATGATGTCAAACTGGTTATTAATAAGTGTAATAATAGGTAATGGCTGGAAGTCAGTTGTAGTTATTGTGTTTCTGCTCATCTCTTTTCTTTTTTTCTGTTTTTGTTGTTCCTCTATCCTTCAGTGATTCTACTTATGAACACCTGCTGTTAGCAGGTGTTCATCACTAATGCTCAACAATCACTTACATATTCACTTAATTATCTCACATAATATGCTGCATGTTGCTTTATTTAAAAGGCAGTGACTGTGTTGTTGCTGATCCAGTGAAAATCACTTTTTTTAAAACATTTAAAAAAAAAGTGGATTGTGGACTGAAATGAAATAAGTTCACAGTAATAATATGCTCACATTATTAGCGCATTATAAATATTAGTTTATAAAATTAATGGCAGTTGGCCAATTAAAGGCAGTTGTTTTTTGCAAATGAAATTAGTTAACTCTAGTTTTAATTTAGTAACATACTGTAAAGTAGATTACAGTAAAGAACTGTACAATTAAAAGTAAATTACTGGCAACATTTTACCATAATTTACAGGTCAAAGTGTTACTGTGTACATTTCAAATCATACAATGTTTTTAAGTTTTTTGAACAACATGTGTTGCGCTTACCCTTGCAAAACCCACTACCATGATGCTGGAGTATTGTGCGTTATTGCCAGGGATTTTCTATAGTTGTTATAGTGTAATACGCTATTCCGTTTGGTTGCTTATTGCCCCAATTCAAAACAGCCACCCACTATTATCTATAATATTCTAGTCTTTAGATATTGCCTGGGTCCTTCCTTCAATGTAAGTCTATGGGATTATTTTTTTTACTTGTTTTGTTGTTTTATGCCAAAATCAAAACTCTTAAAAATAATAACACACCTATTCTCAAGAAGCCACATTATTTGGGGTGTCATTCTTGCTTTTAGCAGAAAGGGTACTAGGTAATATATGTGCCAAAGTTCAATACTTAAGGTTGGGGGTTTCTTCAAATCACTAACCCAAAGTATGAGCCGTAGTAAAAGTGACTTGATCACTGATCAAATTGACATGATTGATGAAATGTTCTTCACAGGAGATGTGCCACTCCCAGATATTGTGGATCCAGTAAATAGGACAGCTTGGATCCAGGCAAAGGTCAAGTTGGCAAAGAGTCAGTTTATGGATGGAATAAACCTAGACGTTGAGCAGGCGGTGCAGACCGGTTCCCCTGAATACTATGCTTTGACAGCCCTCGTCAAGGAAACCACTGAAAGTTTCCACACAGAGATCCCAGGCTCTCAGGTAAAACAGCACATCTGACAATGATGTCATATAGGCACTTTCAAAGCCCCTGACATACTGTCTTCTCATCTTGAATCATAGGTATCATTTGATGTGGCTTGGTCGCCCAAATGCATCGATAAGCGTTGCTATGATTACCTTGCCATTGCCGATTCATGCGATCTCTTGTTTGTTATGTCCTATGATGAGCAAAGCCAGATCTGGGGTGATTGTATAGCCATGGCCAATGGCCCCTTCAATCAGACATTGACAGGTAAGTGATTTAAAAATAAAAAAAATAGTCCATTTGTTTTTTGAAAATTTGATCTCAAGCAAATGTCTCGTTCCCTCCATCCAGGAATGGAGGTTACAATAGTAACTAACCAAGATGTTGGTTTGACCATAAATAAGTTATGTTTTCATGTTTCCATATCAAAATGCACACCTAAAGTTAAGAAATATGTCTTTCAGCCTATGATCAATACATCAGCATGAACATAGACTCAAAGAAACTTGTGATGGGTGTTCCATGGTATGGTTATGACTACAGCTGCCTACATTTTTCAATGGTAAGCAATTTATTTTCAAAATCTTCAGTACTTTATTGAAAATGACATGCAGTACTAGGGCTTTTCGATATAGAAAATGCAATGCAACAAACTAATAAATATATCAAATCAATTGGTAGTTAAACACCAATCTGAAAAAGTAAGCTTTCTCAACAAAGTTGGCAAAGAACTTGCTTTGTGAAAAGGGTGAAATATAACTATACTTGCAGTGTTTTTTTTTTTTTTTTGCAAACGCTGCTCAGCTTGTTGTGCTTGGATTGACCAGAGAGGTATGTCATAATTCCTTTTTGAGTAGCCACTGTGATTTGCTTATCACTTCTCATTGAATATAGCATTCATTTCTAAATACTCGTAAACAACCTTCCTTGTTTTGGCACCAGATCATCTTCGGCACCTTCTGTTACATTTTGGTTGAAGCAGAGGAGGAAGCAGGATCCAAGTGCAGTAGTCTTTTATTAAATAAACTCAAAACTTCACAAATTCAGACCCGGGAACAGAACAACCACCATAGTGTAACGATAAGAACTGACAAAGACTGAACTAAACACAGGCCTTAAATACACAGACAAGCTTAAGATAATAAGGGGGTGTGGCTAATAAGAAACACCTGGGGAGACTAATCAATATTAAACATAACAAGGGACTGCAAAACATGGAACAAGACTTGGGAACACAGGTTGTAAACATCACACCTGCAGCGATTGTGATTTCTTTCACCACTGATGTAGAAATTATACGAAACTTAGGTTGTACAAAAGTGCATGACTTTTATAGTTGTTTTTTATAGTGAGGTTTAGGTTGTAAGTTTTTTACAACCTAGATCATATGACAATTGTGCCATTGCGCAGGACTGATTAGGACTTCTGTTGAGACTGGATTGGGCCTAACATACAAACACATATAAGTATATTCTGAAGTATTGTAATTGTGAATAGTTGTGGTTGACCAATATTGTTTTTTGATGTCAATGCCGATATCTTAGAGAGCAGGGTGGCTGATGGCCGATATATATGGAGTTAAAGGTGCCCTAGAATTTGAAATTGAATTTATCTTGGCATAGTTAAATAACAAGAGTTCAGTACATGGACATGACATACAGAGAGTCTCAAACACTATTGTTTTCTGTTTTTGAAAAACACCCCTGAAAAAATAAGCGAATCTCCACATAACACAGACTGTGATGCAACAGTCGGGATCATTAATATGTACGCCTCCAAAAATTTGCATGCCAGCCCAAGTCCATGTTCAATGCCAGGCAGAACTGTGCAGCCTAATCATCGGAAGTTCTGCAGGTGAAGAAACAAGCGAGGATCATAGGGAAAATGGCAGATCATGGAAACAAATGTTATGTTCCAGGCTGTGCAGGGGATGTGAGGACTTTTCATACCCTTCCCACAGAAAAGAAATGTCAACAGGCGTGGTTGATGTTTATCTATAATCGGATTACCTTACCGCAACAGTTTTATTCGAAGTTGTTAGTTTGCTCTGCCCATTTCACCACGGACTTATTTTCGAACCTGGGACAATATCAAGCAGGCTTCTCTCAGCATCTCATACTGAAGAAGGGGGCAATTCCAACTATATTCCTGCAAGCGGTAAACTAGGGATTTTATTAACGATAATTACACTGTGTTATTAGCCTGGCTAACGTCAGACCCAAGTCTCTCTGGGAACCACATGTTCATTTTCTCGTATTTGAGGCGTGGTTTACGAATGCCCAGAGCCGTTTATTGGGTGCTAAGAATGTCTATCAAATGCGCCTGTACGTAGCTCATAGCCAATCGTTTCAATTATACCAGATGACGTATGTAGAGCGACTGAAATTAGACGAGGAAGAAGACGATGGGTCAGAGATTTATGTGTACACGATGGCGTGTATCTAACGGCCGTTTCACACCGCATGCGTGAGCGGCGCGTATTTTTTTCGCCGTGCATGTTAATCAATGAGTGCATTCACACCGGGAGCAGGAGCAGTGCGTGAGCAGCAGTGAAGCGGGGGTTTTGGCGTCGAATCTGTTTTTGCTGCACTGCTCACGCTCAATTAAAGTGAAGGCACACTTTTGATGGACAAAAATAAATATGATTTCACACAAAAAGTGCCCAAAATGCACAGAATAAGCATGTCTAGTGACTTTTAACAAGAACTTGAGTATGCAAATAAAAGAAAATAAAGACTCAAAAATATTTATAGAAGAGTTAGGTTTCCCGGTAAAAACTTGTTTTTAATTATTCATTATTCAGTTTTATTCAGTAAAAGTTGTGTATTATATTAAAAAAAAAAAAACTAAAGTAAACTAGCCAGAAAATATTATATATAAACGTTATTTTAGTTTATGTAACACACAGACAGCTACATAGGCTAGCACAACCCAAATCAAACCCGAGTGTGTGGTTTATTTGTGTGTTTTGTTTTTTATCCGCGGAGTTGCAGTCTTGTAAACATATTGAAAGTATGACTGAAACTAATAGATTGGAGCCATTTTCTGGGTTGTTTTGTTGTTTAACATTTATATGCGAATGTTGTACACCTCCCCATTACAAACTTTCAAGACTATCAATGTTCTAAATTACCAACTTCTAAAAACAAATGTATAGTTGCCTTTGTAAAGAATTGCTTGCTTATATTATGTAGCTTTGGATTCATGTGCTGTGTGCACAGTGCTGTGACACTGTACAAACGCTTCCAGTGTGAATACACTCGCGCAGCTGCAGTGACGATGTAGTTAAGCTGACGCGCTGCTCAAGTGCCACTCACGCTTGCGGTGTGAAACGGCCGTAAGGCTGCATCGAAAGGTAACTTCGCGTCTGCTGCCATGTTGGATCCATAGGTATAAACAAACTGCTTCGGTGTGTCGCATAGACGTCGTCATCGTCTTGCTGCTCCCTCTCCGTTCTGTGATTGGTTCCCTAGATGAGGCGAAAATTTGGTCCATGGTATCCAGACTACCTAGCAGCGTGAATAAAATCGCGCTGCGGCAAGGCAGTATGGGGAAACCCAGGCTACTGTGTTATCTAGATCCAGCGCAAGATCCTAGTACAGTAACAATAGCAAACGTACTCGGTTACTAACGTAACCTCAGTTCTCTCTAGAAGAGGGAACGAGTACTGCGTAATATCTTACGCTAGTGGAAAACCTCTTTTCCACGAGATATTGAAGCCAAAAAGTATCCTTAATTTTGAATTAATGTAAAACGTGTTACACGTCTAAAGGCTTGAAGTGTCCTTTAGGTGTTAGAGCGCACTCCACAAGAGGCATGGCCTCGTCATGGGCATGGTCTAGCGGGATTACCTTGCAGGATATCTGTATGGTGGCAGGCTGGGCCTCCCCGTCTACATTTATAATGTTTTATAACCTAGAGGTTCCCGCCTTACAGGCTAAACTACTTTCGGTCTAAAATCAGTATTGTCTTTGCTTCGGCTCAGAATACTACAACCGCTTGAGCACTGCTCGATAAAATAACTCCATGGGCAAAAGTAAGACCCATACCGTTACACAGTTCAGGCCGAACATTTTCACCCTGACTGTGTGGAACACTGTTGATGTGATTAGCTCCCTTAGGACGCTAAGTTATTGGGAATGACGCTTCTAGCCTCTCTTCTCAGACTCTTTGTGAGTCCCTGGTGATTATGCACTATATGAGCCCCGGGCACCTGCCCTTGGGACTTTGGTGTTGGATCCCAGCACACACAGCGTTTTACACTGTGTTCCCCTAGCGTAAGATATTACGCAGTACGAGAGAACCTCTCGTAAGAGAACGTACTCGGTTACTAACGTAACCTCGGTTCTCTCTAGAAGAGGGAACGAGTACTGCATATCTTTGCCGTGCCTGCAACACGCTTTGGTTCGCTTCGGCGATGAAAAACCAGATTATATCAGCCCATCGAGCTATATTTATAGGCCCAGGCCACGCCCGCTTTGGCGGGAGGTGACGTAGTGGGTGCGAAGTGCCCCCATTGGATCTGACGTCACCAAGGGCCTCTCTCGATAGGCTGCTGCAGTTGCCGCAGGACAGCCAATAGGCACGCGAGCCGCCTTGCCTATGTCTGCATGCTGCCGCATAGATAGTTGAAGCACTATGGCATCAACTATCCATCTGGATAGGCTCTGTTTCGATCCGGCTAGTACCTTAGCATGTCCGCTGAACGAAACGAAGAGCTGCTCAGTCTGTCTGAAAACAGACACATAAGCTCTTATTGCCCTGACTGGGCAAAGGAAGCTTGCGTCCTTTTCCTTGTTGTAAACCGGCAGGGCAGACAGGGAAATAACCTGAGCCCTGAACGGTGTGTTGAGGGATTTAGGCACGTATCCGTGTCTTGGTTTGAGTATGACTTTCGAGTCATTTGGCCCAAATTCCATACACGTCGCGCTTACTGAGAGCGCTTGTAAATCCCCTATGCGCTTCACTGAAGCAAGAGCCATAAGAAACATTGTCTTGAACGACAGATGTTTCATGTCCGACAAATGGATTGGCTCGAACGGGGCACCTTTCATGGCTTCCAAAACCGCGGAAAGGGGACTGAGGGGGGTCTGGGAGGATTCAGCCTCTTAGCTCCTTTAACCCTCTGGGGTCTAATGTGTTTTTGGGGTCCTTGAGATGTTTTGACATGCCCTGACATTTGTGCTTTTGTCAGTTGCTTATAAACATATTAATGGCACAGGTGAAATTACACTCTATTTAGCACAAACAGGGCTACCATAATATGTGAGCAACATGTATGTACATGTTTGTATTTTTGAGAGAATATTGTTTATGCATGGTTATTGAAAAAAATAAAGTTTCTGAAATAAGGCCACAAAACACATACTAAATATCTGTCCACAAGACTTTTGACTAATGGATGTTGTCGCCTAGAGTTTTTGCTTCAAAATGATCTGAAAATCATCCTGCCTAATCATTCACATAAAACAATAGATTGTTTTAAATTGTGAAAAACATTTTTTTGTTTGGAAAGGCAATATGCTGATGGGCGTGAACGGCCCAACCCCCTCATGTATAATT